TACTAGTATAACATCCAGGACTCTTTTTTAAATAAAAAAATTTAAATGAATGAGGCCTACGATTGAGCCTTGCGGAACTCCACAGGTAATATATAACAAATAAACAGAAGTTCCAATTTAATTTGTATTGGTTTCCTGCTGGCCAGAGAGAAACTCTCAACCTTTCTTGCTGAACCAAAGCTTAAACTTCTTGACCTTGACTTATACAAGGATTATACTTTCTGCACCCGTGAGTACACAAGGGTCCGCTAGGGTCCGCTAGGGTCCGCGTGACGAAAAAATCATCATCAGAGGGGGTTGTGATTGATAGTGACAGTAGAAAATAGAGTGGAGGCCAGTGACAATGTTATGGTGGTTGTTTTGTGTAAACCATAGACAGCGGTGTTTCTGGTTAACAGCAGTGCTGGAGCAGGTGACAAGTGTGTTTAAAGTATTTGTGCCCCCCCTGAAAGCCTAGCATGCTTACTTTATTACTTAATGTTTTAATATTAATTAAAACATGTGGATGAGATATTTATAGACATCTGTAGAAAAAAATAAAACAGTGGATCTGAAAAAGGGAAAAAGAAAATTAGCATATCCACATGACTACCGAATGGAGCTGGAGCTGATAAATACCTACTGCAGTCATTTCACCCGAGAGTAAATGCCAATTGTAGCCTTTCTCACTAAAGGCAAAAGGCAGATGTTAGCGAGTGTTAGTTGTTTTTTAGTCCAGTTTAAAAGGGGCTATAGAGAGAAGCTTGCAGAACATGAAGCAAGAGGACTTCACTCCTTACCTACTATCCCATCACCATAAACACCACCCAAACCCCTACTCCAATATCTCAATAAAGACCGATTAAATGAACAGACCGACAGCAACCCCCCTCCACCTCCCTTCCCCCATTTTTACAGCTCAATCATACTGCGTTATTGCCGACACATAGACCGCTTATCCTGAGTGTCAAAATTGAAAGGGGAATGGAAGAAAGAGAGGGAGAAAAACTGTAAGAAAGAGCAAGTAAGACGAGATAGGGAAGCAAGAGAATAGAAGAGGGGAAGTGAGGGGTGGCCCAAGAGCAATTTCTGTCTTGAATAAAGAAAGAATGGGGGGAGGGTGTTGTACAAAAAAAACCTAATGGCAAGGCCCCTGGTTCTGGTAAAATAGACTGTGTTATAGGTTCTGGCTCTCGTTCGTTGATTCATTCATTTGTTCGTTCCTTGCTCTTTCGTCAAGTCAAGTGCTCGCCTGTCTGTCTTTCCCTTTTGTGTCCGCAAGTCTAGATAAGAGCTGCTGGCATGACTGCCCGGTAGTCATTTAGTTATTATGGAGAGAGACAGGATGAGAGAGTAAGAGAACAGAAAAGAGAGGATGAAAAGACTAATTCTACAGACAGATAAATGGCTCATTTTGAATGGCCTTTCTTTCTTTTAATTCACTCTCTCATCCGTTCCTGTTTAAATATTTGCAGTTCTTCTCCTCCTCCTCTCACCTGACCGCTTCTCGTTCCTCCTTCAACACACACACACACACACACACACACACACACACACACACACACACACACACACACTCTATGACTATGACATGCAGCCTAATATGCAAGTGGAGTTGTCTCTTTGAGAGCTATTAAAATGAGATCTTCTCTTCACTAATCCATATTATTAGACTCCAAAGCCTTTCACAGCCTCTGAATAACAACTCCTACGATATTTCCACATACACACAGTTTCTGGAGTGTGAGAGGATACTGCTCATATTTTTTATATTCTAATGTGAATGTGATTGTATGCGTCTATACGTTGCCCACAGTTTGAATCAGCAAAAAGGCTTCTATACTTCTCTATGTTTCTGTTTCTGCATGTATTTCATCTCTCTCTTTGACAAACACATGTGCATGTGTGAGGTGCACGTGCATGATAGTGTCCCCATTCGTGTCTGGAACCTCATTTTCCTCTCCTAATGACATATCAAATGTTTGCATATAGGCCGTATCAGTATGGAAATGAGCATGCACACACAGATGCACACAGCTTTAGAATAAAAGAACAAATCAAAGAGATCTATGTATATGTGTGTGTGTTGTCACAAGTCTCTAAGGTTAGGCGAGTCTGTGAGTCAAACATGACTAGCGACACACACACACACACACACACACACACACGTACCCTAGCCTTGTTATCCGGGGGCCTGTCTTGCAGGCAGCCTCTCTAACGCTGAGTGATGTTTAAATTAGTTTACAATTTAGCCTCCTCGCTATCCGCAGACGGCTCTTAACTCAGTGCGTGTATGCGATGTGTTTTTGTGTGTGTGTTTGTGCGTGTGTGAGCGTAACAAATTGTTGCCAGTACGGCAGACATCTAATGACTTCAAATTAGCTGCCTGGCGCTCGCCTTGACACGTTGTTACCACTGTTAGCAGCCTGTGTGTGTGTGTATGTGTGTATGCAGCGCTGCGCAGCCATATCATGAAGCATAAATTGGCTTCACCTCTCCTCTCTCTCTCTTCCTCTGTCTTTTTTCTCTTTGTTTCTCTGTCTCTCTCCATCAATTTGATTAAAAAAATTACTGTACCATGGCGAGCAAAGACGTGTGCATGTGTGTGTTCACATGGACACCCTGCACTGAGTCAGTCTCTCACACACACACACGCGTGCACACACTTGACAAGATGTGAAACAAGACGGCTGAAAAAAGGTTAACAGGTCTATTCTGTTCTATTCAAGACTTATTAAGTCACTGTAGACTATTGTTTTGACTCTTTTCAGTTTGTGTGTGGGTTTGTGTAAGAGTCTGATAAAGAATGTTGACGTGTATTTCTTTCTGACAATCCTTTCCACCCTGAGTGAACAGTAGATCACTTTTGGTGTGTACATGTATGTGATGTGTGTGTGTGTGTGTGTGTGTGTGTGTGTGTGTGTGAGTGTGTGTGAGAGACAGAGTATTAGATCAGTGTTCAGTGTGGTAAACTATGAGAATTTCATAGTGTTCACATCACAGACACACTAACACACACACACACACACACACTTGGAAGATGAAGAGTTCTATCTTTCTCTATGAGCAGTGAATTGCCTTTCTCGTTCATCTAATCACGCCATCTTCCCTCCTCCGCCAAGCAATCGTTGCGCTTCGCTCCCTCTACACAGACAGCTGCACACGCGCACACACATGCACACACTCAGCCCAGCACATAACCTGGCTAACTCAGATCCAAGTAGTGAGCAACGGAAAGGGAAAGCCCAATCCAAAACAATTCATTAAATAAGACATTATATGAACGTTAATGTGTGTATCTGTGTGTGTCTGCAAGTTCTTTTTCTGTTTGTCAGATTTATATACAGTACAGGTGCTTCCCGGAGGTATGGCGAGAGAACCACAGATAGCAGGGGAGAGAGATAAATAGATTAAAAGAGAAAGGAAAAAGGATTAAAACACATGACAAGGACATTAGAGGAAAGGAGATCGAATTGGAATTGGGCTGTGTTATTGTGAATGTTATTTTGAAAGAGAAAAATGAATATTCAGGGAACTATACTTGGTATATGGATCAATATATATGTCTGCTTACTGTCTATATAGCAACACACAGATCAATACACTAACAAGAAGCAATGCATTCCCATGTCTTCTGCTCTCTCTCTTCATCTGCTTTTTCTCTGTCTCTCTTTTATTTTCACATTTATTGACAGGATATTGTATTTATATATAATTTGGAGATCCTGTATTCCAACACCATTGACTTTATGGTTACTGATTAATGCATCCTGACTGAGTGGTATTTATGTTGCTTATCTGGTATTTCCCTTTATACTCTTGCAACCGCCTATACTGTTAGGGGGTAATTTTATTCTATTCTATTTTCGAACCATATTTCCAGTCGACAATGGGACTAATCTTTGTGCTAATCTGTGTTAATCTGGGACGCTGCTCTTCCCTCCTCACTGCTGTCACAGCAAGCTCCCTCACTAAAACCAAAACCAGATTATAGTATCATCTCTTCCTCTCACGCGTCTTGCTCCCTGTCTTCCTCTTCAGTTTAGCTTCTATGGCGAGATGCATTTGTCATCTTGTTCTTTTCTTCTCTCTTGTTTTCTTATGTACTAACATATTGGCTTATCTGTATATCTGCCATTTTCTCAGTCCATAGTAGTCCATATTGTCCAGATGCAATTTTAAACAGATTAAGTGAGAAAAGAGATAGTTTAAGAAGATTAGATTAGTTAAATTGTTTTAGTGATAAACCTGTAGAGGGACAATGATGCGCTATAAGCTAAAAACAGACATCACATTCTACTATATCACTTGACACTTAAAAACTCTCTTTAATGTTTGTTTTAAATATTATATTGAGATTGTTACCACACAAAAATATGAATTAATGATCATCACTTTAAACAACAATTATCCCAAAGAATTTTATGTTTCCAAATCTGTCTCTCATACAACAAACCTAAAAAAACAACCTAAAAAGCAAACGAAAACCTTATTCTTTACATTAATGTTCTAAAAGCCACACGTAAAGGTACAGCTTTATTCATAATACTCTTGCTGTCTATCTGTATGACATTTTTGCAACCTTTAATTCCAGTACATACATAGTTCACCAGCAGGGTGAAGCAGTGGTTTAAAAGGGCTTTGTCATATATATGGTACAGTGACAGCAGGCACACACACAAGTCGATGGTAAGGGGATTGGACTGGGTTCAGGGAAGGGCTCAGGGTGAAAGGTCATACCTTAGCCTTACCAGGTGTACTTGTATATATGTAAGTGTGCCTGAACTGCATCTGGAGAAGTGATTGTAACCTTGTACTCTCTCTGCCAATTCACACAGCATGTGTGTTTGTGTGTCTATCCTGTATGTGTGAGTGTGTGTGTGTGTGTGTGTGTGTGTGTGAACTACCCTATACTCTGGAATTGGAAAAAAAAAGCATGTATGTGTGTATGTGTGTGTGATAGTGTCACAACATGGAGTTTAGGTTCAGTGTGAAAGTCAGGGTTCAGCAGTCCCCCCTACCTGGGATATGTTTGGCCCAGCCGATGTTGACCACCAGCTCTCTGTCCGCCAGGTCACACAGCGTAGTCAGGGCCTTGATGTCGCTGTCTGGTACTGTTGGGTCAGGCATGGCGTAAATCTTCTCTGGCTCGGCCACCAGCAGGTGAGAGACGATTTTGTTATCTGCAAGGCAGCCAAAGGCAACTGACATGACCACCAGACAAGGAGAAAGACACAGAGACAGAGAGATGGTGAATTTTTGCTGCGTTGGGCTACAAGCTGTTCCACACCAATCTGGTGCAAAAATGTGAAAGGTTAAATGCAAAGTCCCTGATAACATGGCTTGCTAGATAACACATTTATCTACAGGTATTTCAGTATACTCAGTATACTCTATAGTATAATGATGTTAGATATTACACATACAGTAATTTGTATATGTATATACACAAATTACTGTATGTATAATATCATTTTTTTAATCATTTCATTTTTAATTGTCAAACCACACTTCAAAAATCAAAAGTAATGTATGTAAGTGTAAAACTTAAATCTTCACATTACCTGAAAGGTTATTTTTACAGTAAAATATTATATACAGTAATTAATACAGTATATCACAATATGCAATGGAAACAAGATCAAATAAGATGAAGATGAAGCTTGACACCGATGCCTTGCCTACATGTCCTGTGGAATTTGTCAACAATCTAGCGATAGATAATTGATTTGATTCCAGTAATTTGGCAGGACTAAAGATGAAAATGCTCTTGACAAAAGATCAAAAACGTATTGAAACGTTTCCAGGTTTAGGAGAGGCTTCAAGGTGTGTTTAAAGGTGATTACTGCTGGTGACTCAGGATACCCAGAACGTTGTCTTTTGTATCACAGCCTTAAGAAGCTTCGCTGATACATACAGAAGGGAAAGATAATACTGAAAGCCAAACAGCTCAGCTGGTAATGGTGACATGTGGTGATGAGATCTCTATGGCCCATTAGGAACAGACTGATACCCTGCTTCCAAATTAATCCACTGACTAATCAAGCATGGGAATAATAACAGAGGATAGAAGAGCAAGAGATGAGCGAGGGATAGGGGAAAAGAGAGAGAGAAATAAGCAAAGAAAAAAATGGAAGACAGACAGGTAGAAATAGAGCCATGGACAGAGAGTGATACAGAGTTGGGGAGGATGAGTTGTGTATTGATCTACCACTCTCCACCCACAAACACACACACTATATATATATATATATATATATATATATATATTAGTGTGTGTATATCTCCTTTCCATCCTCCTCCCTATAGCTCCAGCTCAAGGGTCGTTTCAGCCAAACCTATCCCAGTCACACTGCAGTATCTGTGGGTAAATCTTATTTAATGTTTCCCTAATTAGAATCAATGGAAGCCCATTTCCAAACCCAGGGCTATTGTTCTGTCCTCACACAATCAATGGGGACGCTGAGGCTAGGGATTGGGCTACAGATAGGCTGTGTGCATGTATCTGAGAGAGAGAGACAGAAAGATTTTTTGTGTGTATTGACTGTGTGTGAGAGGAAAAGAACAAGAGAGTCTAGGAAGTCTATATCAACCCTATACTTTTTTGTTTTTCAAGTGTAGGTTTGGTTTTAGGTCAGATAGAGATTTGTGTTCATACATTTATTATGGGAAAGATGTAAACTAGGGATTAAAGCCTGAATAACTATTTTGAGTGGTCACTGGTGATTCCGTCCTTAGGATGGTTAAATCTAATTTAACCATCCTAAGGAACAGTGATCTTCAGCCTGCCAGTGAAGACATTCAGTTAGCTGAACACACACATGTTCTGTGTATGCTAACACATACAGAATAAACAGTGTACACACATTCATATTATCCAATCATTTCAATGATTAGTAGTGCAGAAGTCCCGGTAAGCTGTTGTGCAGCCATTCAGCATATTGGCCTAAAGCAGAATATGCTCCAGCTTTAAGCAAAATGGGCTTTGGGGACCAAGCTGCTAAACACTGCTCAATCTGCACTGCATGAGCGTGTGTGCATGTGTGTGTGTGTTATGTGTGTGAGCAGACGGTTAGCTAAAGAGCTAACTCTAGTTTGATGTGGTTGCCAGATTGGATTTAATCCGGATTAGGGTTCTGGCTGGTCCCCATCCTTTCCCCTCTCTCTCGCTCTCTCTCTGAGAACCCTTCTCATTTAGGTTCAGTCTCTCCCACTCCCTCCCTCTGCATCTCCACCTGTCTCTCGGTCACTCTCACTCACTCTCTCCCTTGTTAATTTTCAATCATCAGTCTTTGGCGATGGTTTTATTCTTTTAAAAAACGCAGCCAATCCAGCAAGAGCTAAATGAACACCTTTATAGTGAAATATTACACATATAAAATGTTATGACCCCAAACTGGTAGCAGTAGAGGCAGGGAGATAAACTTGGTCCCAAACAGATGGGCTTCTCGCTACCCTGTGTCTATTTATATGTGTGTTTGTGTGTGTGTGTGTGTGTGTGTCTGCATGTGTGTTTTAAGGTTTTTACTGTCCAACTGTCTTCATTAGGATGGAAAGGCAGTTCTTCTGGTCTCTGAACAACAGCTCCTGGGTATTACATGAACAGACCTGCATATAGTGTTACAATATGCTAGAATTTGAATATTTTCTGTTTACTTCCAGGGAGGTTTTGCCCTTCATTGTTCCCTCTGCACACCATGTCAGATGCTGTTGCCACTGTAGTACATACAGTATGTCAATTTTTAGAGTATGAGTTACTGGGCACCGAGGACAGCATGCAAATTTATGCCCTTGAGAATCCCCGTTTAACATCAGAGAGACAAGGGCTATTACATATACTGTTTGTGTGTGCATGTTTTCTTACATGGCTTCTTGGGAGGTAAAGCCAGCTGTGGGTTCAGGTATGGACTGTTGTCCGCATCTATCCGGCGTTTATACTTCTGTCTCCCACCACGAACCCTGTCCAGACGAACACCTGTAAGAAATGACAGAAGAAGTGTATCAATATACTGCCCATGACACTGGCTTAAAGAGAAAAATAAAGAGAGACAAGACAAGACAAATCTGCTGGTATGCAAGTAAAAAAGAGAGTGGAAATGAAGGGAGAGATGAAAAAGACAGGACCAGCGATTACGTATGAGCCCTGCGTGTAAAGTAGTGATAGCTGTGTTGTTTCTGCAGTGTATGCATGTATGTGTCTGTTATGCATACAGGCACTTTTATGTTATTGTCAAGCTTGCTAAACTCGCTTGCCTCTTTTATTCTACAACAAGATTAATTTATAGAGACACCATTTGAGTAAAGGGCCTCTCTCTCTCTCTCTCTCTCTCTCTCTCTCTCTCTCTCTCTCTCACACACACACGTTGTCTCTGGCTTTCTGACTTACTCTTTCCCTGTCTCTTACCCAATCTTTGTCTCTCTGTTGCTGTCTCTCTCTCTCTCTCTGTCTCGTTAATTAATTGACACAAAGGAGTCCTAATTTAATTAGGCCTATCTCTCAGGGGATTGGATGTTACCGTGGTTACCACTTAAAGATGGATAAGGAAGACAGAGGTGTCATGTGCCCTGGAGTAGGAGAGCAGAATAGAGGGGAAGAGGAATCTGAAAGGACTGTCAAATGTTTCAAACCTGATACTAAGCAATTTTTTTGGTTTACAGATGAATCATTTGTGGAAAATGGCTTTCCATAATGACTGCAGAGGGAGGTCTGAGATGTGTCTCTCTTACGCCTTCTTTATCTTCAAAAAAGTTTAGGTATTAATTTGATTTTTGTATAATAAATTAAATAATGTTCATGCCACTCTGTTAACTGTTGTTTAGATCTGCTGTATTATAACCATTCCATGGAAATTGATGGCTTATCTATCTCAGCAAAAACTCCACTGGCACTCAGAAAGAGATTCATGTTACATTCATGGCAGGAGCAACAGTAGTGTCGTCATAATAAATACAAAAGAAATGAGAAAGCCACTAACGCTGCACAGACACTAAGAACAACATCTATATCAACGACGGTCTGGGGGGAAAAGTTATCCTAATACTGAATGCACCGATTGAGTGAGTGATCTAAGAAGTGCAAGTGAGAGGAGAGGGAATGGTATTTTTCAGCATGGAATTTAAAATACTAAATAAATAATATTGGCTCCTGGCTTTTGGAGCAAATGTTTAACTTAGAAGTCACGTTGGCTAGTTTGCCAGTAAGTGGTGGAGGAAGGGTCAGACGGCTGCAGAGAAATCTGAATGTTGTTGGTTTAAACAGTATGCAAAGTATTACTTTTGAAATGCTGTTGACACTAATCTCAGTTACTGAAAAACCCCCGACCACTGATTTGAAAGCTTTTCTGATGCAAAGTGCAATTAAAACAGTGAAGATTTGATCTAAATGCAGAGACAGAGAGAGAAAAAGAGGGAGGGTGGGGGGCGCGAGAGAGCAAGAGAGATATTTGCTAACACACAGAGATTTAAATCCTCTGCAAATGTGCTGACCATGACCAAGACATCACACCTAAGAGATTTTAGAGAAATACTTTCTATTGTCAGAAAAGAAAAAAAATGTCAGGGAGCATGTTTGTGCATTCGTCAGCATTTGTAAGTGCTTGTAAGTGCACACGTTTCCCTGTTTTATTTGTGTTTTGTACATGTGCACATTTTGGCACTTTTATTCAAGCATCTTGCAGTGATGTGAGTGTACACATTTTTTCTACGGAAATGTCATTCATTTAGAAACCTAACTAGCCCAGGTGGCAGCCAACCCAGTGAACTGAACATGAAATGCATCTGTGTGTGTGTGTGTGTGTGTGCGCGCACGTGCATGCTTGAAACTGCAATAGCTAGACAGAAGGGCTGACAGTCCAGGTACAGTGGGGAGGGGGAGGGACAGTGTCAGCAAACGGTCAAGAAACTCTAAACACCAGGGGGTACTAACCCACTCACTCACCCACTCTGCTTTCTCTCTCACACACACATTCACACAACGTCTATGTTTCTCTAACCCCCACCCCCATGTTGTGTTTGGGTAAGCCCCCGATAAGCAGCTTGCTCAGTCACTAGCTAGGTCAGTGGCTGGTCAGAAGACGAGAGGGAGAAAAGATCCGAGTTAGAAAAAGTAGAGGACAACAGAAGCAAGGGAAAAGGTATATGTTTAGATGGGAAGGGCGAATAAAGACTAAATGGAAGACAGGGTTTGAGCAAGAGTTTAAATCAATAGGTAAGGGTATCTCAGTCATATGGCTACATGTATTGAAACCACAGTTTCATATTAAATTCACTGAGAAATTAATAAATATTTTACGCTGGTGTCAAAGGGTGATTATGGGCAAACTTCCTCATGTCTGTACTGTAGCATCACTAGCACTCAAACATCCTGCTAAGTCATGCATGCACAGCACGATCAAATATACAGGTGGCACCACCAACCAGGCCACTCATTTGAGAAGGCAGCATGGTTTCAAAACAAAAGAAAACAGCACTGGCTGTAATGTTACCAGGGGGAGCAGTTAACCTGGAGCAATGCAAGCGTACAGCAAACACTGCTTCCAGAGCACTCTTGCCATAAGCTACTGCCCTCCTGGTTAGGGGCAGCATTTTGCCTCATGCCATATAGTAATTCACCTGATTTTCAAAGTAAAGTACAAGGTACAACATTGAGATTGGCAGATGCTGACAGCGTGGTCAGCGACATTCTTATTTACTCTGAATTTATACAACAATCAATGTTGTCAATCTACACACTCTTTCTCTCATATTACTTTCTATTGCACAAACTACACTGTCACATACAGACTAAATTTTTCTTTCTTTTTGCCTCATACCTAAAAAGACCCAGTGCTGTGCTGAGCTCACTTTATAAAGAGCCCTTTCTAACTACCTCATCTATTTTCCAGCAAATTAACTCTCTCTCAGCACTGATTAATGATCAAATCTAAATGAATCAAATTAAAAATTGAAAATTATATTTCCAAAGCCTACAAAAAAGAGACAGGAGGAGGTTAGCAGGAGAGTGAGAGTGCTCTACCTCCTCTTAACAAATGAGCCTTCAAATCATAAAGAATGGGCAAGAGAGGAGAGGAGGGAGGAATGAGGAGAAGGAAGGAGAGGAGAGGAAAAGGGTCAGGGGAGAGGAAATGTAAGAATCAGAAAAAAACATTACAAAAAACAGAGGAAAAAGAAAAGGCAATGGAAGAACAGATAATTGAACAGGGAATGGGTAAGCATTGGAATAAAATGGTGAGACAAAAGAATTATAATTTAGATAAAAAACGATAAAAAGCATTACTGGAAGATTATGATAACAGAAAGTATAAAAAAAAGAGAGAACAGAGGAGAGAGGAGTAGAGCATAGGTTGTGAAAGAAGAGGAGAAGGCGAGGGGTACGTAATGGATGGGCTAGTAAACATAAGAAGAAAGGAGAAAGAGAAAAAATTAAATGAGAGAGAAAAGGAGGGATGAAGTGAGTGCTAATAAAAGGAAATGAGATAGGACTAGAATAATGAGAGAACCCATGAAAGAAAAGAAGAAATCCACAGAGGTTATATGCCTTAATTATATGCTTTAATTATTATGTCAACTAACAGTACACCTCTACTCTGTCTACTGCTTCTACATCTACACACAGAAATATCAGAATAAATAGAGAATAAACATTTGCTCGCCAATTTTCTGCGTACATAGAGCATAGTGTCTGTAAACTTTGATACCATATATTTGCTTATATGAATAACACAATTTTGTATCACTTTTATCATATGCTGTAGACACTGTAACGCACACACACACACACACACACACACACACAGTGACAGTGATGAAGGTGAATCATTTCTATCGTGGGAATATTGCTGCCTGTCAATAGCACGATCTGCACTGATCACATCAGCATAGATTTTACACCGCACTGGCGTCACTCTGTGTCAGTGTATGTGTGCGCGTTTGAGCAGTTGAGGGATTGCGAGTGAAATGCCTTTGACACCTAAGTGCCTTTGAAGAGAGAGCCGGCAAGCGCGGAAAGAGAAAGACAGAAGGGAGAGGAAAGAGGAGAGTTAGACACAAAATGGATTGATTTCAGATGGTCAATGATATGATAAGAGAATGAGAGGATGAAAGAGGGCGAGAACGGGAGTGAGGGATAGAGTGGAGAGTGGAGTAGGAAGACAAATAAAATGATTGATTTCTGTTGATCACAGTGAGGAGTAAGAGGGATGACAAAAAGCACAAGAGGAAGAGAGCATTTAAAGAGGCAGAGACGAGGAAACACAGAGGGAGGGGAAACGAGAGAGGAAGAGAGTGGAGTTTTATGGTAATTGAAGTTGTAACAGGGTTGAAGTCTCTCTTCCACCTCAGACCAGGTTATCACCTTATGTTGCTGTGTGTGTGTGTGTTTTTGTGAGCGTTTGTTAAACCGCAGTGTTGATGTAATAACATAAAGGGTTTTCCTATGTGGTTTAAGAACTGATGGTAGAGTAGATTGGGTAAGACAACAGACCCATTTAAATTTAATGCATAGGTGTGTGTGTGTGTGTGTGCATCTCTATATCTTCTGCATGTGAGGAAGAATTAGAAAATAACAAGATAAAGAAACATACAATCTATGTGCACACAGGAATACCAGAATAAAACTGAGTGTGAAGAAATCAGATCAGTGTCCGAGTCAAAATTCTCCGCGTTTCACTTCATCTTCCTTAAAGATGTTTACGTTCAAGTTAAGAAAACTGACACAAGCGAGCTCAAAGAATGAAAGAAAACTAAAGCGAGCATGAGAGAGGGGTGGAGGGGAGGTTAAGAGGAGTGTGTGTGTGCGTGTGTGTAGTGTCATGCAGTGACGTTTGTTTAGACCAGAACAGATCAGAACAGCACTGCCCAAGGCAGCGGGCAGGTGGCTGTCACTGGTGTGTGAATATGTGTGTGTGTTTGTGCAAATGTGGCCATGTGTGTGAGACCATGTGGGGTCCCTGAACAATGTGGCCTTTTCCATGTTTA